AAAAAGCCATGGCGATAACATCGCAAAGACGGGGCAGATCAGGAAACAAATATAGCTATAAGAAAGAGGATAAAAATTTGACTAGTATGACACGTAGGCCCTTCATGGATTGGTGTTCTGTGAGTTTCGGTGAGCAATGAAAAAAACCGACAAAACTTTCGGGACAACCTAATAGAATGGGAATCTGCAGTATTAATATAAGCTGCCGCATGCAATTTGCTTCGTCATTCTTCAATGTCTTCATAATTTTTGCTCTAGAATTAATGGTCTCACGTTGACTTATAGAAAACCCCCTATACTTTTTTCTCTAACTCCGATAGGTGCTTGTTTTTATGGAGAAATTTGCAACATTTGCTTAGCAAGAACAATGCTTCGAACTCATCTTGCTGTACGAAATCGCAGCGCATCGCAAGTCTTCAAAGCATTTGGCAAAGCACTCGTTCTCGTTAGAAGCCTTGAACGAATGATAAATGCCACCAATTTAGCCACCGACTCCACTTTGTCAAGCGCATGGTAAAGCAACAGTGAGATTCTGACTCTGGGCAGAGTCAGAATCTTTGCCCAGAGTCAGGCTGCTGCTAGGAGTAGCTTAGAAGCCAGCGAATTGGAGGTTGTGCATTTGTTTGTAAGAGCTTGTGGAACTAAATGTGTTCGTATGATTGATCACTCATGGTTGCTATACAACCGCCTAAAATTTATCTTCAATGGTGATGAGACCTTTCAAGCATGAAATATGTCTTGAGCAGAGAGAGAGTTTTTTTTTCAAAGGTAAAATATTATTTTTATTGACGGTTTAAGAAAGATTAAGCAGATGGGTTTGTATTGTTATGTGTGGCTCCGTAGTTAGCAGCGTTAAATTGTTGTCTTGCGATCTGTTCCAGTTGATTACACTATGCACAACATAGAAAGGCCTAAAGATATATCCATTGTAAGAGAAAAAGTTGGATTTTACTGGACCAAGAATGCCTTCGTCACCATCCATGTAGCTTATGAGGCTTATTCAAGAGAAAGTTTTCTTGGGCCTAAATTCATAAGTAAATAATCTGCTCCAGAGCTTGCCAAGTTTTGGAACCAACGACATTGTGGAAAAAAGGCTGTATCACAACTCGTTCAAAAGCTATAACCGGCAAGCATCGGCATAAAGTCCAGTTTGCCTCTTGGCACAGACACTTTCAAACAAGAATCTGTTTTCCTCAGATTGCAAACCTCTGCTCGTAGAAAAAGACCAAAAATGACTAGTTACAGTCAAATCATTTCATAAGATCATGTGTGTCAGTGCACACACAGTCTACCTTTGGCGTCCTCATCCTGGACTTGTAGCCACTAAAACGCAAGAGACTTACCGATTATAATCAATTACAGCAGCTTGAGGTGATTAGCGCCTAAAAAGGAAAGAAATATCAATAACACATTGAATACAATTACCTAGAGGGTTGTTTCCTCCAAGAATCCAGGATGGGGCGCCAAAGGTGGACTGTGTGCGCAATGACACATGTGATCATTTGAAATGATTCAACTGTAAAAGTATTGGGATCGATAATCTCTTTCTACAGGTGTATCATCCTCTCGAAAATTCTGATGCGTTTGTTGCAGTCTCCAAGCCAGTGATAACTTGGCAGAGTGGCGTACTTTAAACGCTCAAATCTTAGCATCTTCCGTCCGGAAAGCTCTACGATGATAAATATCTGCTTTAGGACTTTTTATTATTCCATAGCAACCTCAAAATCATGACTGTAGCTTTGAAGTGAAAGTCTAATTGTTAGATGCGGCGTTGAGTGAAAAGGATGTTATTGATAGGATCTTAATATTTGAAAAACACATTGTAGAATACACATACACCAAATCTGGCACTTCCGTAGCAATCGAAAAGACTATGTATGTATAACATATATCTGCTTTGGCGAAAAACATGAAAATGGGAACATTTGAAAATTTCAAAGCAAATAGGGATAAATAATCTTTCTCGTTGACAATACAGCAGTACTCATATTCACATTAAATCCTAGGATATTTTTCTAAACTATTATTTTTATAATCAACCATAGTTATCTAAATCAAATCTAGAAGCAGAACTAATAAAGCAACCAAATAGAATAGAACTAACCCCTCCCTAGTTATGTTATGTAGCATAGAATGCATTAATATTAGGTTGTCCCGAAAGTTTTGTCCGTTTTTTCAAACTACTATAAAACCACGCTCAATAAAAACCTGAAAGAGTTTCAACATGCATTCGACTTTCTTGTGGACCCATTTTCGAACCAAAACCATGTATGATCTTTTTGATAATTGCCAAAATTCTCCACCCGTCAATTTTATCTCCTCTAAATTGAGCTAATTTTTGAAAATTTTGTTCTAAAGTTTCGGAAAGGACTAAGTATGTATCAAATAGAGCAACTCTCGGATTACAAGGCAATATTTTTAGAATTTCCTAATCTGCTGTTTACAGTTTAAAAAAATTATTTCTTCAGAGGTCTCCATTTTTGGCAAAATCATGAAACGTGCAGCAGCAAACACGCGAGAGCTTTTGAACTTTCTGCGAATTGAAACATGATTCTTGTTAAACATTATTTATGCAACATAATCAAGTTTGATTTGCTTTGAAAAAGCAGCTTTTCGGAATTTTCGGTACTTCTACGCTGTAGTGATTTAAAAGCCGTGGTTTTTTATTGAATAAGTAATTATAACGGACTTGGTAAACGTGGCCCATATAATCTTGACCACAAAGTAGCAAAAGGTTTGTCCTACATAATAGTTACCAGCGCTTTTTTGAAAACTTCAGTATAAAAATTTTTGAAATTCAAGAAAGATTTGGCGTTACTGCTGAGCTGCTCAAAAAACCATGGCGATAACATTGCAAAGACAGGGAAGATCACAAAGAAAATATAGCTTTAAGAAAGAGTATAAAAATCTGAATCAAGTGTACCCAGGTCGTGCATGGATTGGTGTTCTGTGAGTTTTAGTGAGCGATGAAAATAATGGACAAAACTTTCGGGACAACCTAATACATCACATTATATTCTAATGTGTGAAAATTTTACACGAAAAAGTACGTTTGTTGTTTTTTCCTTTCCTTCTGCATCAGCACGTGGCTTTATCGCTATTTCTTCAAGAGAAAAACTCTGTTTTTGGCTTTGCTGAAAGCGGTAACGCTGCTAAGGCTTATAAGCGAATGGGAAAGTGACTCGCTGCAGAATGTTTGATTAGTGTTGCGCTGTTACTTCCCTCTTCCAAACTCAGACAATCAAAGGCTCTCAGCCGGCCCCACCAAAAGCGTCGTTGCCTTATCGCCGCCACTTTTCGCTTCCCGCTGAGAACATTGCTAGAACTGGCAGCGAGCAGGCTGCCATAAAGTCTTCAGCGCGTAGCGAATGTGGCGGCGATGAGGCATGGCAACCACTTTCGCTTCGCGCTGAAGATTTTATGGCAGCCCGCTCGCTGCCAATTCTAGCAAAGGTTTTCAGCGGGAAGGAAAAGTGCGGCGATAAGGCAACGACGCTTTTGGCGGGGCCGGCTGAGAGCCTTTGATTGTCTGAGAAGTGGACGAAGAGGAATTTCGGACTGAGTCAACAAATGGATGTCATGCTGCAATGTAACCTGTTCAGGTACGTTACAGATCCGTTTGCTATAAGTGACGTGCATTTGTGTGCTGCGTATAAATCTCATTTTCTATCGGGATACGAAAATCATGGCCTGTTGCACGCTTATACTGCTATAGCGATTTTTCTGTGAATCTTTTGTGCTTTTGTGAATTGCCACACAGTGAGGGTTCTATTTTGCAACATGATGAGCGCATTATAGCGCGTTTGTAACTGATTGCTGAATGTTTGCTCCACTACCATTTAGACTCCACATATCTTGTGCATCTCTTCGGATCCATATCGTCGCACTGGAAGTTGTACAAGGCATCGCTTTTGATCTCTTTTCTATATTCGTTCATTCCAGCAGGTAACAAGTGGCAGAAGCTGTTAATCTACAAAGTTTTGATGTAAATTACTGTAATAGTTTCCTTTTCTATTAGTGTTAGTTCTTCATATTTTCTGTCATAAATGCGCACTCTAGAGCATAAGTGCAAGGAAAGCAAGCGTCATCAAAGCACACTGCTGTCTTCTCCAAGGGAAGGGGCGTATGATTTTGTCAAGGCTCCGTTTTATAAAGACTTTTATAAAGACGCCCGTAAGCTCGCTGGCACTCAAAAAGGGGTTTTCAGAATAACTTTGGAGGATGCATTACTCTCCAGTCATTCTCTGTTTCTCAAGCAGTATTTACACTCATCAGGCATTTGAAACAGATTTCGCTATATCTTAATGGGCCTTAAGTTAGTGCATTGCTTATACGTCCATCGTTTCTCTCCCTGAAGCCATGGACAAGCTGTTATCATGTTATTGTTCGAGTGTTAGAGTTTTATTTTTTTGTTCTTTGGTGCACCGTGAGTGTAAACTAAAATAAAAATAAAATAAAATAAATAAAGGGAATCTGCATTGAGATAAGTTACGCACGTATTCAATTTGCTCTATCATCCTGCCATTGTCTTCATAACTTGTAAATCACTACAAACAATAGTTACACGCTGAAGTGTGGAAGATATGCATCTCCTAGTAAGTTTCCTCTACCACCCATTCCGATGTTCTCATGGACTAACCTGCTACCATCTGCCCCTCGTTCAATTTCACTGTTTTGAAACAACTCACAAATGAATGAATGTTTGTTTGTTACAGCTATAGCAAGTACTCATCTGCAAGGAATGAAATGTGTTATTCGTGTGCCGCGTATCAAACTTCGCTTCAGTTCGGGAAATTCTGATTAGAAAAAAATTCTTCTGAAAGAGGCTACGCGAGATGATTTTTGTCTGGATATGTTGCACAGCTGCGCGCTGCATCAGCTTAACTATGTATATATAAACTGCCACACAAAGAATGCTTTATTTTGCAACATTTGGATTGCTCTATAGCGTGTTCATAGCTGGGAATCACGGAATGTCTGCTTCACTACCATTTAGAAGTTCACAAATCTCGTGCATGTGGTCGAATCCATATCGTCGCGTTGAAAGGCGTACAAAACGGTTCCGTCTTGTTTCGTGTGTTCAAAATCCCCAGCGAAGTACACGCGGCATCTGTTGAGACTCTGTAACGTTTTGATTAAATCTGTACTGGTAGTTTGGATGACATTCCCGTCTATATGGTTCGTTGGGCGCAAAAATACGAAGGGGACAAACGTCAAAAAGCACAATGCTGTTTACTCGAAGGCATTGGGAAGGAGCATGACACAAGAACTAAACGGTGTGTTTTTTAATCGAGATCGCGTTGAATTTTCTTGACTATTGAAAGGAAGCGGGGGGGGGGGAGGTGGATGAGGAGAGGAGGGGTTTGCAGTCGAGTATGTGGTAAATACGGTGCTCTTGCGGTGCCGAGATTTTGCGGTAACGCGGAACATAGCTACTCTGCAGTAGCGGGCAGAGGCCCCCCTTCCCGAGAATGGATTGGGAAATTTTTGAAAGTTGGTCTATACATGTATGTACAGTTACAAAAATGTGCAATTGATTCGTTTATTCTTGTAAATAAATGAACCGCTACTGCTACTTTGTGATGTTGGCATTTTGCGCGTGCAAAATTCCAGGCGCAATTATGTGCTCACGCGCAGATTTTATCACAAAATCTACCGCGGCACCATATTCGCTAAATCTACTAGACCATAGGTGACACTATGCTTTGTTCACATACAAGGAGCCTGCAGCGTGCAGAATACGAAGTCGACGCGTTTGTTATACCTTTCTGCAATCGTCTTCACGCCCTCCCATGCTACTATCTCCCAGTACTATTTTTCTCAGTCCAAATGCTGCTACCTTTAATGCAACTGGCTTGGCGGCTGGAAGGCGGGGATTTGTGGTCCAAGAGGCCGCGCCGCCACGCGGTCTGCATCTCTCCCGCGCGCGTGCTCTCTGATCATTACCTAGCTGTAATTAGGTCACACAGCCCCGCCTTCCAGCCTCCTAGCCAGTTGGATCAAAGGGTAGCTTTGACAGGGAAATGCTACATTTGTCCTCATTTAAAATGCAATGCTTTGAACTCATCTTTAGGTACCGTATCCCAATGCATGCCTTGATTTGGAAGCACTTGGCAAAGCACTCGCTCTCGTTGATATCATCAAACTTCCAACACGTTCTATTGCCAGTCAACGTTTCCACTCTATCAAAAGCGCAGGATAAAGCCCGGAATGCCTGAAAGAATTTAAGTCAAGTATGGAATTGGTATTGGAATAAATGAATTGGCCGTAATCGTGGATCACCTGGGCAAAGAGAAGAACCACGACGAGTGACTTCATCGCTATTCAAGCTGGCCGCACAGAAGCAGCGTTAGTATTCGACTGAAATGCGGATGTAACTTAGAAACCGAAAGGTGGGAGACATATATTTGTCTCTAAGAGATTTGGTATATACATGTGCTTATAAATTTTGCTTATGACTATGCTTCGCTTACAATAAAAATAGATTTATCAGAGGATCCCGTTAAGCAATAAACCTTTTGGGGAGGAAATGAAATGAACTACAGTTTCAAAAGCACACTAGGCGATAAAAGTAGCACTCGTAGATGTTCGTGCTCTCACGGCAACTCCACAAGAGGAACTCTTGATTTTAGTTATATGATTACCATAAAGTCAAAGACTATGTTCATCAGAGCCTCCTTCGACATTTTCTGCTTGGATAATAAACTTGTAAAAATCATCTTTGATTTGTAAATATCTCGAAATTTTCATTTGTCTCTTGACAACTCATACTCTAACGAACCGTCAGCAACTGCGGTTCAAGAGTCTGGAAGTCTGGACAGCATTACGCACTTCCTGATAAGGTTATGTCGGACTACTTCAAAATTGGAGAAACTCGAGAATCAGCTTACACTCGGCTTTGTGATTTTGGCCAAATTTAAGTCAAAAAATATCAAGTTGAACCGAAAGTTCTGTCGCGCCATTCTCAAAAAATTGTAACTTTTTCCTGTCACAATACTTTTGCATGAAAGAAACCTTACTGAAAGGAACAAGTCATGCACTTTACAGCGGCATCTTGGTTGCTATTTAATAAGTTTTGAATGCAGAGACAAAATTGGGAAAAGGAGATCACTTCAAGTTCCGAATTTTGAGGCAAGCCCATTAAAAATTCAAAACTGTGCCATAAAATCCAAAACAGCCAGTAAGCTAGGTTTTCTGTTCTTCTCTTTCTACAAGCAAAATCGGCGTTGATTGAGCTCTTCTTAGTTTTCACAAAATTTGATGATTTTCGAGAAAAAATGCCAAAAAATTTTCTTAAGGGAATTGATTTTTCTCTTATTTTTTCAAAAATCAAACTTTTCAAAGCAGCTCGATCAACGCGAGTTTTCTCAGCTAAAAGGGGGGGGGGTCAAAAAGTCTAGGATATTGGCTGTTTTGATTTTTATGGCACAGTTTTGAATATTAAACAGGCTTGCCTCAAAATTCCGAACTTGAAGTGATTTCGTTTTCCCAACTTTATCTCAGCATTTAGAGCTTGGCAGAGAGCAGCCAAGATGCTCCTGAAAAATTCGTGATTTCCATTTAAGGTTTAAGTCACGCAAAAATATCGTGTTGGGAAGAAGTTACGGTTTTTTGCAAATGGTGCGACAGAACTTTCGGTCCAACCTAATAATATGTGTATCCTCGAACATGTCAGCTGTTTCGCATTGAAAAAGGTAACTGGCTGTCAGAAATCAATCGCTTGAAAATAGTAAGACATAGGCTCGTTATTGTTTTGGTAGTAAGAAGTTGCGTTTCGGTGCGCTGAACATTGATATACATTGTCAGAGTCCCTCATTCTTCCCCCGCTTTTTATCTCTAACTTCATCGTGTGATCCTCTCAAGTGCTCGTCAATTTCTAGCGCAGCGTTCTCTGAAAAAGCAATATTTGGGCTCCAATATGCTTCCAACGCAGGAAAAATAAGTAAATGGCTTGTTTAAAGCTAACACACAATTACATGACCAACAACTTGACATGCGAATGAAGATTCAAACATACAGATTGCATTCGCGAAGAAGTTATGCTTCAAAGGCCGAGTTAGGTGATCTGAGGCCAGGTGGTGATCCATAGAAGTGGCTCGGGGAAAAGTCATAACTTCCTTTTTCCACATGAACTTTTTGATCTCTTTCACATAACCTCTGTCTAGATCCTAAGTCCTAAATACTAGTTCGCTAATCGCCTTGACCTCCTCTTTTCTACTTAGTCACAGCCCCAAAAAATTCTTAGCGGGTAGGGCGGCAATCCTGCTTTAAGTGTTATGCGCGGTAGAGGCAACATGCCTAAATACAAACAATTCAAATATCATTGCGTCTTGCAAGTGGAATTTTTTTTCCGTTTCTCAATTTTTGTTTTTTTGCTGGCTGAAGTTCGGAGCGAAAGAGGGGATTTTGTCTACTAAGCCCAAAATTTGCCCTGAAAGTGGCCCGGGTCTCAAGCTAGTTTTTGACAGTTTCACGCTCTACAAGCTGTACAGTCGGAAGCAGCTAGGACGTATAAGCCTAGGTAAGCGGGAAATCTTCAGAATCAAGCTTTACCGAGATGCTGCCTTCAAGGTTTGGAATTGTTTTAAGCCGGAACCTAGACTGGCTGTAGTCCCAGCCGCGTTGAGGCAGAGAGGTCGAGCGTGGAACCTGTATGAAACTGCGATATACTGAAGGCACACAAGGTAAGCGTGCTAGTGCCAATACTAGTAATATACCCATGGGTTTTACACGTGTCTAGGGCGATACATCGTCACAAAACAAACGACATCTCATATCATAATTTCTATTAGAAGGAACGTCCATAAATTCTTCTAAATACCATCTACCCGTGAAGGCAAATCCATGTTGAGCGTTCAATGAATTGCAAGTCTCATTTCGTTTGGCCGTGGGTACCCTTCCCTGTTAACGATTACGTTCCCCCAACTTCACTGGGAATACTGGAGGGCAAAATCATTAGTATGGCTGGCAGTAAAGCTTTAATCTACACTTATTTTCAAAAAGGATGTGACAATGTAAATTTTAAGTGGATAAAGTATGGTGATTCAGTAGTTCAAATGCAGTGTCAGATAGCTCAGCTCTCTCGCTAGCAGGCTCAAAGGCAGTGTCCGGGCAATAAGTCGTTTTTAACACGTTTCGGACCGGTGCTGCACATGGTGCAGCACGCTGCTTTAAAGAATCTTTTTAACGTTCACAGGGGGTTTTCTTTTAGTCCAAGGTAATCAAGGCAAAGGCCTAAGCTTCTACTTCCCAAATGACTCTGTAAAGTTGTCCCGCTGATATTTGTTTAGGAGATATGAGCACAAATCGAACAACAGTTGCAACGAAGTGCGGCGACGCGAACAACGCTTACGAGTCGCAACTTCCTTTTGCTTCGATTCCAAAGAGAAAGACCGTAGTTTCAATACCGATGTGTACCGATTGCAACATAGATACTTTTGGATACTACTAGAATCTGATTTCTTGTTCCTATCTTTCAGGGGAGCACAGAAGTTCTTCTCAAGCGACAAAACTCAAACACTTCCATTTCACTCAGAACTTTGGGTATGCAACTTATCTGACAAGCTGATTACAGATGTAGCACACAGTTTACGAAATAAGGTCCTTTTCTTGGCTTATGGGTGAAAGTGCACTCTTTTTCGCCGCGCGCGATTTCGCGGTCCGAAACGTGTTAAGATTTTGCGTTTACCTCGGTTTATTTGTTATGCTGAATTCGAAAATCCACACTGGGGAGTGCGAAAGAGACGAAATAGGGCTCTAACGCAGGTGGAAAATCAGAAGGCTTGCGGGGCCCCATTATGAATTCATGCTCCCAGCTTCCTGAGCGATCTTCTCGGTTCCGACTTCGAGACAAGTGTCCGCACCTAGCCGGTGACGGTGTCAGGGTTTGGGGGATCACGAAATCAAGAGGATCGCTCTGGCAGCTGGGATTGTGAACTCAACGACAACCGAATCGGTTATTTTCCAAACTCTAGTATACAGGGTGTCCGTAAAGTATGTATGCACTGTTTGATCGTTAATATCTCCGTTCCCAGGGGGTCTTTTGCCGAGCTTTAAGCACCATACTGTAGAGCTGGCTTCAACTTAGATATACAGTATGGAGCGAATCGCCGTTCTCCTCTCATTACTGTAGGATTACGGTAGGAACTTCAAAGAGGGTTTTGAGTCATGAAAGGCCATATTTTGCCTCAGAAAGGAAACAAAACAGCCTAAAAACTTTTACACTAGGCTAATTAGAGTTGCTGATTCTAATTGTGAAGTTCCCAACTTATTATGATGCTTCATTGAAGAGTTATGCCAGGTAAGAGGTAGCGGCCATTTTTCAATGTTCCTAAAAAGTGCGTTTACACCGTTTAGAAAGCTTCGCAATCTTGTGAATAGTTGAGTATTGAACTCAGACAACTGGCCGGAACTTCCGCAGCGCTTTCGCAGGGTTTCCGCAGGTGACCCGGCGGAAATACTGCGAAAGCGCTGCGGAAACCCTGCAATCTCAGGGTGCAGGGTTTCCGCAGCGCTTTTGCAGGGTTTCCGCAGCACTTTGCGCTTTTAATTCGCGATCCGTTTCTTCCATATCAAGCTTATTTTTGATACCAGGTTTCCTTTCCAATACTAGGTTTTCGCTTTTTACTGAGGCATTATTCTTTTAATGTGGAAATTCCTCCAAACTTTCTGTATGCTAAGAGACGTAGACAGCAGTTTTATTGAGAGAGCAAATGGCACAGTGTATTCGCTGTAGGCCGAGGCTGATACTTGCAAGTTAACAGATCAATGAAGTGTTCTCAAAAAATATATATACATAAAACCACAAAACATTCGTGTGTGTATGCATAACCGAATAAGGTTGGAAAAAATCGGCGGATATTAGGAATCAAAAAGCAATGTTATACTGATGCAAGAGTAAAGAACAATGGAAGAATGACATAAAAACAATAATAACAATCCCATTCACAACGGATAATATGCGCTTCAAACGGAGGATGGTCCTGTAGGGAAATAAACCGTTTCCACTTGTCGGGTGTCATTTTGGCCTTGTCCGCGCGACTGAAGCCGGCTTCGGCCTTCCTTCCTTTCTGCAATGAGAATTTAATCGAAATTTCTTGATGTAAATCTGCTTTGCCGCAAGTGTTCCATTTTGCAACTTCTTCGCCAAGAAATACGGAGCAAATTTGGATGATTTATTTGAAATTTTGGGATTTCAAAATCTCAATAAGTGAAGCTCTGAGACAGATTTGAAAATTACAAGAGTTTTCTGCAAAAATAAAGGCTTTACAACGACTTGGATTTTTTTGGAATTTCCAAATTTGGAGCGACGAACTTTT